GGTTTCAGATGCTCATTTTTGGGAAGGGAGTGTTATCCTGAAGGAACTCTCCTGCTCCCTCTTTTTGTTATAAGCACTATTCTGTTCTGAGTGGTTCCATTTCTATTGCCCTTATCTTCATCAGACTAATCAAGGTCAATCGGATCAAGAGTGAAGGGTAATGAGGTGCTCAGTCTCAGATGAAGTGAATGAAAGCTCTAAGACTGGTGATCATTTTTGAAAAGCCAAAATCTCCTTCACTTGATGAACCTGCTCGTGCCTCCTTAACCTCAGGGTGAAATCACCAGCTGAAAACACAAGAGCATTTGACATTCAGATCAGCTTTCTGACAACTAGACTTTGTTCAACATTGCTTTTCTGATTGAGCAGTAATATTTGGCTTCTGTAGAACTAAATAACTACATCAACTGGAATAGAAATACATGATTACAGGAGTCATATTTCCCATGAATAACCTGAGAGAAAACAAAAAAATTGTAATGGCAAAACACATATCTTATGCAGATATTATTATCAGATATTATCAATCAGAGATAACATGGTTGTTCTGTCAAATCAGCCAATTCCAGGTTCTGCAGACACAGAAATAATAATTTAAAAAAATCTCATTTCTGTAACATTTATACCCTTCAATCAGAATGCCTATAAACTAGGGACAGACAAAAGCTAGAAAAGGTTTTCTCAGCCATCTACCCAACAGCAGGGACACAAAATCTTGCAGAAGGATGAAAGAAATAATGACAAGATCCAAAAGAATGTATTAAATTCTTCCTTGTGAGGGTGGTGAGGCACTGAAACAGGCTGCCCAGAGAAGCTGTGGATGCTCCATCCCTAGAAGTGTTCATGGCCAGGCTGGACAGGACTTTTTTTCCATGGCAGGAAGGTTGGAACTAGATGATCCTTAAGGTCCCTTCTAACTCAAACAAATCTGTGATTCTGTGAGTAGTAAATCAGAGTAAATCAGATGTGATTTAACACAAACCATGAAGAGATACACTGGTTATTCTAAAATTTAAAAATTTAGAATACCTAATCTGAGGCTGTAACATGCCAAATAATCATAACAGATTTCTTAGTCACCCAGCGAGTTGTGATAGATCTTCATTTGTATTCCATGATTTAAAAAGCTGCTCAGCCAACTACTTTCCTTTAGCAGATAGAAAGTTTAATGTCAACTTCTTACCTTTTCACTTTTTCCTTAACTTCACTTGTAAAATGTGGATCAACCTAGAAAGGAGCACACACAGAGGTACATGGCAACACTCAACATATATTTGAAATACCCAGAAAAGAAAAAGAAATCTTAGCACATTTTTACTCCAATCTTGAAATGCATCAATGTGCTGAGCTTCAAAATCATAGCACAGAGCTCTAAGTTAGTGGTTACATTCGGGTCTTCAGACAATTTGGCAAATCAATGTGGATTTTGATGGGCCAAGTGACTTTATGGATCCCTTTATGGATGGAGTTAACAATGGGAA